AAATTTAATTTTATTTTTAAAATTTCTAATTCCAAAACCAAAAAGGGCATATAGTATGTTTGGGGGAAATATACAACTCGTAAAACATTTTTAAAAAAGTTAGAAATGGTGGTTGTAATACATAGCGAAACCCTTTACAAACAAGGTATGGGTTTGTAAAAAAGTAGAAAATTTTCAATATTTTTCATTTTTAAAGGGCATTTTTTGTTTTTTAAAAGAGTATTTTTAAAAAAGTAAATTTAAATTTTCGTCCCAAAATGCTACGTCAAAATTTTTGAATTTCGAGTAAACATCTTAAAAATTTTTAGATATTTAAAAAAGTAAAAAAAAAAAATTCGTTATTTAAAGAAAAAAATATCATAATAATTTAAAAAAAATTATCTCAATCCCCTAAATGACAGGAAACGTACGCTTTTATATGTTTAAAAAATTGAAAAAAATTTTGACAAAAGGGGTATCCAAATAAATTTTTTGCCGAGAACATTTTTTTTCACAGTTTCCGGCTTTCCCTCCCTTTAAATATAAAGCATAATACATTTTGGCTATCATTACCCCTATTTTCCCCTGAATCTTCAAAAAATGGGAAAATAGAAAGTTAAACCCCCCACGTTTTGGGATAACTAATGAATCGGATAAACCCCCGGGGGTTTGGGGCAAATTTTTTGCAAAACCCCTTCCTCAATATTCAAAAAATTATTTTACAGCATTTAAAAAAACTTCCCCTTTTCGGTTCGGGGATTTTTTTGCAAATTTCAAACGGGGGCCCCTTCCCGGGTAGACTAAAATTTTAACCCAAAGTACTTAAATTTCCGTTGTGCGTGGGGGTCCGGGGGTTTCCCCACAATAATGAACGTTGACAAACTAACATTAAAAACCTTGAATGGTAGTTTGTTTTTTTTTTTTCTTTTACTTCAAAATCAAAAAAGGATTAAAAAGGGAAAAGTTTTAAAAAAGGAAACCTTCAACCCCTTAACCCCAAAACTTTTTAAATTTTATTTTTTCCGAATTTAGGTTTTGAGAAACAGTAATTAAATAAAATTAAATTAAAAAAAGGAAAAAAAAAATTTGGGCTTTTTTAAAAAAATTGAAAAAAATAAAAAATTTTTTTTTAAAACTTTGATTGTGGGGTTAAAAAGGTACCCCGGATTTTGAGTTTTAAATACAAAATTTTTGGTTATAATGTTCAGTTTTAACATAGCTCTTGTTTCCCCTTGACAAGATATAGGGCTCCGGGACAATACCGTAACACGGGTTTTTCTTAAAAAATATTTTTGTCCCCAAAAATTTGAGATAATTTTGTTTTAAAATTTTATTTTAATCATGCACTCGAAATAACCAAATTCGACATTTTTTCTATGCATTAAATCCCAAGGTTTTCATTTCTCCCCAAGGAAAATTTCCCAGATTAACCCTTTTTGGCAGTTGTTTTTTTCATATAAAAAGTCAGAAGCTGAAATAAACACAAACATGTGGGTATCAAATTTTCCCCACCAAAAAAATACTGGGGGACGTTTTTACAAAATTTTATCGGTTGTAAAAATATATTGAAAAGAAAGATGATAATTAAATGGGGGAAAACCCTATTTTGAAAAAAATCTGCTGGCCACCTTTTCCCCCTTTAACAATGGTAAAAAAATTTAAAACCATGATACCTCCCGTTTATTTCATAAAAAAAGCTAACGAAAAGGATTATTATGTTTTAAATTGAATATTATACCTTACCCATTTTCGAATGGTTGTACCCCCCGGCTTTTCCCAAAAAGTTGGGTTTTAGCTACACTATTTTTTTATCGCTTGTGTTTTTGGGGCATATCTTACGTTTCAACCGAAGGGGATTCTTTGCAAATTTTAAATTATCGATCCGGTAGCTAAAAATTTTTTGGTACCTAAAAAAATGTTAGCTTTGAATTATAATAATAATTTTAAAAATATTTTTTTTCACCTATTCAAAACAAAAAATTTCCTTTTATTAATGGTTGAAAAAAAATTTTTTAGTAAAATATTCAACAGAAAAAATGGCCAAAAAAAAGGGCTTTTTCCCAAAAAAAAATTAAATGCCTTTTTAATATGCATTATCTAAAAGGGAAAGCCCGATGGATAAAAAAGATTTAAAATTTAATTGTTAATAAAAATGGGTTTCTGGACGGCCTTATATGACCTTTTTTTTAACCCCCTGACGTAGGGTTTTTTTAAAACAAAAATTTTATATAAAGTACATTTTAGGATAAGCATTGCGTTTTACTTTAAACCTTTTTGATCGGGTTATAATCAAATTTGAATTTTTTATTTAGGGGTTTTTTAAAAACATTTAAATTATGAAATTTTTTAGGCCTAACCTTTTTCTTTTTTAAACATCTACGTTCCCTTTCCACAATTTTGGTATTCCTTTTTAACAGAAAAAAATTAATTTTCCCCAAACCAATTAAAAAAAATTAAACAATTGAACTTTTTAAAGGGTTTTCCCCCAAAATTTTATTTTCCAACAAAAAAATCATTTTTTTTAATAGTCTTAATTTTTTTTTTTTTCAAATAAAAAACTCAAAATCAATTTCGTAAATTTTTATCGAAGTAGCCTAACAATTTAAGTTTTCAAAAAAATTTTTGGGGGTGTTTAAAAAAAAGATTTTCAGTGAAAACTGATTCTATTGGGATGTACACACGCTAAAGCCGAAAATTTTTTCGCCACGTTTAAATTTTTGCTTTTTACAAAAAGTGTAAAGGGTCCAATAAAATCAGTTTTTGGGCCTTTATGGGATTTTTTTTTTTTTTTAAATTTTTTTTTTTTTTTTAAAATTTTTTTTTTTTTTTTTTTTTTTTTAAATTTTTTTTGTTTTTTAAAAAAAAAAAGTTTTTTTTTTTTTTTTTTTTTTTTTTTTTTTTTTTTTTTTTTTTGGTTTTTTTTTTTTTTTTTTTTTTGGAAAAGTTTTTTTTTTTTAAAAAAATTTTTTTTTTTTTTTTTTTTTTTTTTTTTTTTTTTTTTTTTTTTTTTTTTTTTTTTAAATTTTTTTTTTCCTTTTTTTTTTTTATAAATTTTAAATTTCAAAAAAAGGGAAAAAACAACCCGATTATTCATGTAAAAAGGGGAAAATTTTAAAATTTTTAAAAATTAATATGTATTACGGTTAATGAAAAGGTAATTGCCTTACGTATAATGTTAATCTACTTAATATTTTATGCATTTTATTTTCGTTACATACAAATATATATCAGTAAGCAACAACTTAATGTATATATTCACATATTTCCGTGAAAACAAAGATACTAAACAGTATTAATCTTTTTAAAGATCAGCTAAAGGTACAACCACAGTTTTAAAATACCAATCATTCTATCTATTCAATGTAGTTATCTGTAGGTATAATGTCTAGTTATCTATAGAAAAGACAGAAAAATATGGCAAAAAGAATTATTCTCAAAATATATTACAACTTTCTTTGAGCAATCTATGAAATCGTAATAAAAACGAATTGCAAAAATAGCAAACATTTTAAGATGGCGAATATAAACAATAAATTTATAGCTAGGGTCAACATCAAAATATTATTTTACAACTCATTCAACATTATAAAGACAAAGTATCTGTAAGAAATGAATTCTTGTATTCAAATATGTTTTAATAATGGTTTTATGATATATTAGATGCTTATCATTGGAAGGAACAAGCGCTGAATGTGCAGCTATATGTTGAAAGATACCAAATATATCAAGAGACTGTGATAAGAAGTTGCTGAAAATCTGTTACGAAAATTTCCCCCGCCCGTCCCGCCGCCCGACATTAACCATACTAACCCGGGTTTGCGCATGTGCAACCCGGCAAGAAATTGTAACAAAACATCAACAAGTTTGAAAATGATAAAATGATAGCATTTTGGTGCATATTGGGCCTTTAAAATAAATGCTTATTATAAATAAACAAACGTTTCATCCCAGAATGCCAAAGTTTTTTAACTTAATGATTTAACTCAGCGTTTTATGATGTCAATTATAGTTGGATATTTTAAAACGTCTGGATGGTTCCAGAAAGGAAGGTTTATACGCATATTTGTGAACCTATATACCATTAATGTCACCCTTGTGTGCATTTTAGATGTATCTATATTTTAACGTGTTTATAAAAATGATAAATCGTATTAACAGCTAAACTTGAAATGAGCCGCGTCATGACAAAACCAACATAATGGGTTTGCGACCAGCATGGGTGCAGACCAGCCTGCGCATCCGCGCAGTCTGATCAGGAGCCATGCTGTTCGCTTACAAATCCTAAAACAAGTAGAGAAACTGATAGCAAACAGCATGGATCCTGATCAGACTGCGCAATGGTCGCAAAACCATTATGTTGGTTTTGTCATGGCGCGGCTCAAATGAATGTTTGTTTTAAAATACACCTCAAAGAGATTACCATAATGTTTTTACGACAGATGACACGTTTTTCCTGCACAGAATTTTCATGAGTGTGAATAGAACATTTGAAGCAGAAAATTAAACATATAATTTGAAATGCAAGTTATATCATTAATAAATAATTCATTTTTGTGTCGTCGTTTTGTTGAATTATTGCGGCAAGGTAATTTCCCTCCTACAAAGTTATATTGCAGTCTGTCTACATTTAAAATTAATAGAAATACCAGAATTTTTAACATTTCAAAGTCTGGTTTTCATCGATTATCTGTTATACACCCAAGTCCATGACTAATAACATTCTCAAGATTTAGTTATGTGGAAAGAAAACAGACTATTGTTAATACTGATAAATCGTTTTTGTGAAGTATTTTATTATTGTTTTGAACATTTCTATAATTCTTATATACAAAAGTGCAATGAACTTGGTTCATTTGTTGTAACTGATGAAACATTGCAAATTTGTTTTATATTTGGCAAATATTTAGCTTGGTCTTAATTGCCGCACATTCAAAAGACAACAAATTAATCGTTGAATGAAATACATTCACGACCACTAAATTGCCATCGCCACTTTAGTACGGAATATCATAATAGAGAAAAATGAATCCTTAAAGAACGTAGAAAATGTTGCAGGAGCCTATAGGCATACAAGACTTTCCATAAATGTGAATGCAATGTATCATTTACTTACCTTTATTTCATCTTGCAGGACTGTTTGATCGAACCAAAATATTTTGTAATAGCAGGGTGCCTCTGCAGTTAAAAAAGAAAACAGTGTAGATAATTGTTGATAAATTACATGCGTTATTTAAACAATGTTGATAATTAAAAGTTTTCATAATGATTTAAGCAGTCTTCAAATAGGCTCAGAATTAGAAATATCAACGCGCTAGGTATTACATACTTAATTGATAATGCTGCGAAATCGTGAAATAAAGAAAATGTATATGAACCTATAGTTGTTTATCATTTTTTGAACTGGTGAGAAAATGTATTACAACTAGCGATAGCTTCGCATACAACGACGAGCAAACCAAATGCATTGAATCAGGTGACTAAAAACGGCTAAATACTTGCGTTATAAATACAAAACAATCTTCGTTACGTCAAAAATCTATCCTTGCGTATGTTATGCCCTACGGAGCGGGACATCAATTGATTTTGTCAAACATGATAAAAGACAACATATCTTTGCTTTTGTTTGCACGTACCTGGTCCAGGGTCCCACGTGACGGTTATGCTAGGCTTTTGGTTGACTAAGAAAGGCTCGGACACACTCAGAGATATCGGAGCAGCAGGCTTATAGTTATCTGCAAATTAACCATACTTTAACCCAAGCTTAAAACAAGTACATAATACACAACTGCATATATCTGCATGAAGTTCATAGATATGCATGTTATTGTTTCGGTTTGTATGGATATAATGTATTTAACAAGTTTCTGATTTAGCATGCAATGAAAAAAAGCCTTATCTAATTGTTGCTGAACACCGATAGGGACTGAAACCTTGAACCTGATTAATAAGTATCTTATCAGAGCATCTTTTACATTTTCTGACAAAATAAAGGGGACATTTAATTTTTCACCCCTAAAAGGGTTTTTTTGATATAAATACTAATTTAAAATAACTTGGGGCACAGAGTTCAACAAAATGGGAAAATTTTAATGCCTTTTACAAATTAATACCAATTTCCCAAGGGTTGTTTTTGGGGGATAAAGTGATGTATCTAAGGTTGCCATCTCTCATACACGAAATAATTTTGTTTTCGAAATAGGAAAATTATGCATTTTCTTAATGAAAAAATTTCGTAAACAATTCTTTTTTGCAGTTTTAATTTTTCACGAAAAGAGGTTTATGGCCCTTGGGGGCTTTAAAAAAAACAATATATCATTAAAAAACATCTTCGCCTTTTTTATCAAATAGAGTGATATCAAGCTTTGCTTTTACTCTGATTGGAATTTCCTTTATCATTATTTTTTTAATTTTTTTTGCTGTTCTAACTGCAAGAATTGAATCATGAATGATCAGGGCCATTGATAATGTTGAGCCATTATAATGGGTAATGGTTTTGGGCCGTTGAGTGTTTAATTATATAATGTAATTCAGAGTGCCATATGTAAATTAGCCGTCTTTATTTGTCTAAGTGTTATCCACAAAGTTCGCGGTTGACTCAATTATTTGCCAGAAAATAAAATAAGCCTCTTCTTTATTTAGCAGGAAATTTGTGAAAACGCAAGGAATCTTACATACGCAAAAATCAGTGATATTTTATCCTGTTACATGCATTAAATATTTATCAAGAAATATTCTATACGTACGAAATCATTTATTCGAGGGCTATCTGTTACACACAAAAATCTATGCACAAACACAAATTTGCTATACCCAAGATATATACTATATATACGCAAAAGAAAACCCAAATTATATACTATATATACGCAAAAGAAAGTCTTCAAATCGCACAATGATTTCTGAAAAAAATGTATCGTTTATGTATCGTATACGTAACAGATATATTATGCTAAAATGACGTGTGTTATAGTATACAGAACATTACTTACATCCCGGTGTTCTACTCCACGCCGTCGATTTGCTTTGACCGTATACGTTGTCAGATAACACAGTTGTTACCATAAACTGATAATCAGTGCTGCATCGCAGCTTTGGAATTTCAACAATTGTTTCGGCAGTCTATGAAAATAGATAAATGAGTATGTGGTTATTCAATGAAACCCGTAGAGGTTCCTTTCCCAAAGAAAGTATTTATTGATAAGATGTGCTGAATGAACGTTCTAGAAAGAAAGGAAATAATAGTAATTTTGTACCAGGATTTGTGTTTTTAAAACATGCTGTTTTTACGTCTTAGTTTCTCTTCCACAGTTCGAGACAACTTATATGCTTATATCTACTTAACTCATCATAAAGTATTCAAAACACTTTTAGAAAGGCTAAAGAATGTCATGCACACTGTGGAAACCTTACTTTCAGTAAGTATTATAAGTTCACAAATATTGTATGTTAAGTGCTTTTGGACATGACTTGATATCAGAGGTATTCATTGCATTTTTCAGACAAGCAATGACCACATTTTAGGACTAGACTTAGTTGAATTTACCTCTTTATTGTGAGGCAAAGAAATTATTCCTTGTATTTTTTATACATGCAATGGTCACACGAAAGGACTAGACTTCGCTTAATACTTTCTTTATTGAGAGGCTAATACGTATGCAATGCATTAGTTTGACACGCATCGGTCACATTCAAGGACTAATATAGCCAAGATTATTCTCTATTTAGAGACAGAGAAGTATTCGCCTCATAAGTTAGACATGCAATGGTCACATTTGAGGCCGTAACTTAGCTAAAATTATTCTTTATTTAGAGACAGACAGGGAATGATTCGCTTCATAAGTTAGACATGCAATGGTCACATTTGAGAATACTAAACTTAGTCTTATTTATTTCTTTTTGAGAGACAGAGAAGTTTTCGCTGTATCAGTTAAACATGCAATGATCACATTTAAGGACAAAACTGTGCTTCATATTTTCATTGAAATACAATTGTGTTTTTATACACTAGTCACATTTTAGGACTTCACTTTGCTTAATTTAGTTCTTTTTTGAGATTGAGAGACAAAATATGTACACGTGTGCCTCAAATACCACATGTCTGCTTTAAGTAATTTTAATTCACAGCGCCAAGGATCAAAGTAAACCTAAAGCCTCATTATTCATAAATAGTGTCTCACACTTTACAGACATTAGTGTTAAAACATTCCTTACAGTTTCACGGAGTAATGAGCTTACAATATATCCTTTTTGTCAAGCGAACTTTTTTTTGCTGTTATGCGCACGACATTAAGTGCTTCATTAAAATTCATATCTAAGGAATAAAATTATAAGTCTGTATCATGTGTATACTATTTCGGTTTCTCGTTATTCTGTATCGTCAACAAATGATGAATCTGAAAATTTTGAAACAATGTATGATTTTAATAATACTGACAATGGTGATGAAATTTTAGATAGGAATTTTACTATTGAAGAAATTACAGCGGCTGTTAAAACATTGAAAAGGAATAAATCTCCTGGGAATGATTTTCTTTTAAATGAATACTTCATTGAATCTATTGATATATTAGGGTGCCATATTTGCGATATTTTTAATTGTATATTAGATAGTGGTTTTTTCCCCGAATCCTGGACTGAGGGTGTTATTATCCCACTGCATAAAAAGGGAGACGTGAATAATGTTAATAACTATAGAGGTATTACACTAGTTAGTTGCTTGTCTAAATTATTTACAACGATTTTGAATAAAAGGATTATGGATTATTGTGAACAAAATAACTTGTAGTCTGATGCACAGTTTGGTTTTCGGAAAGGTAATTCAACTGTAGATGCCCTGTATATTTTATTGTCTGTTATTCAAAAATACCTAAATGAGAAAAAGCGTCTATACTGTGTATTTGTGGATTTCAAAAAGGCCTTTGGTAGTATTTACAGAAATGCCCTATGGCTCAAGTTATATAATATTGGTATTAGAGGTAAATTGCTACGTATTGTTAGAGATATGTACGATAAGGTTAAATCTTGTATAAAACATTGTAATTGTTATTCTGATTTTTTTTTAATATGCTGTAGGTCTCCGTCAAGGGGAGGTAATTTCACCGATAATGTTTTCTCTGTTTATTGATGACGTCGAGTTATTCTTAGAGCAGGATATAAACAGTGGACTTCAATTAAATGATATTATACTTATGCTTCTACTTTTTGCTGATGACATGGTAATTTTGGGTGATTCACCAGAACAGATTAACAAAAGTTTAAATCTTCTCTATTCATATTGTGAAAAATGGAGTCTGAATGTTAATATTGATAAAACTAAAGCAATGGTTTTTAGAAAACGTGGTGGGTTGTTATCTAATGAGGATTTTTTGTATAATGGTGACAAACTCGAACTTGTTAGTAATCTTAATTACCTTTGAGTTGTTTTTAATTACACGGGTACATTTGTTTTAAATCAGGAACATATAATAGGAAAAGCCTTAAAAGCATTAAATGTTCTACTTATAAATTGTAAAAAGCATAAACTTAATCCCAAAATGTTATTTCAGTTATTCGATGCGTTTGTCGGATCCATTCTTTGTTATGCCTCGGAAATTTGGGGAAATAGTAAGTCAAAAGAAATTGAAAGAATTCATCTTGAGTTTTGTAAAAGAATACTTAATGTTAAAATGAATACATGTAATGCAGCAGTTTATGGTGAACTGGCTCGTTATCCTTTATACATTACAAGATATTTACGGATAGTAAAGTTTTGGCTTAAATTATTACAAACAGACAATATCATTCTTAAAGAAATTTATAATATATCTTATGAAGACTGTATAAATGGTAAGAAAAATTGGCTTTCATGTGTTAAAGATGTATTATCGTCGTATGGTTTTATGTATGTATGGCATAAGCAAGAGGTTTTATGTAGTAAATTGTTTTTACTAGAATTCAAGCAGCGTTTAATTGATTCCTTTGTACAAAGCTGGCATGCTGATATTGTAAATAGTCCTGTTTTATTGTTATACAAGGAGATAAAAAATGTGTTCCAGTATGAAAAATATCTGGATTTATTACCTAGTAGCCTTAGGCATTATATTAGTAGAATAAGATTATCAGCACATCCGTTACTTATACAGTCTAGTCGTTATGGTTCAAATAGGATACCAAGAAATGAACGTTTTTGTATATACTGTAGCTTACATGATATTTAAGATGAGTACCACTTTGTTTTGGTTTGCACTTGTTACAATGACCTTAGAAAGAAATATATTAAGACATTTTACTAGTATGTATAAATTTTTAGAATTATTAAATAATGATAATAAGATTATTTTACGTAACCTTGCTTGTTATATACGAGAAGCATTAATGGCTATGAGAATATCAGTTACACATCGTTGAATTCACGGTTAATCCTCTGTGTAACATAGCGTAGATAAATAAGTATTGATTGCATAATGTCTAACTTTAAATATAGATTACATTTTGCTTTGATAATATTTTGATATGTTTTGTATTAACGGAATTATAAATTAAGCAATAAAAACATATGCTTTGCTAACATTTGACTATGATATTATAATGTAATGTGACTTATACTTAAATATATTTGATTGTTTGTATTGTGTAGACGATGTATTTTGTACAAGTCTGAAAATAAAGTTTCTGTTCTGTTCTGTTCTTATACTGCAGAACATCCAATAAATGGAATGTTATAACTTAAGTATGTTGTTATACATGTATGAACAATGTGGCTATGTCATTTCATTGTATTTCAAAAATGACGCCCGATATGTATCGACTTTAGGACTGGTTGCGGAATAAATTTCCCTTGAAAAATGTTATACATGTACATACATGTACTTTACTTCAACACACAAAACAGAACACTTGACTTTAATTAGATGTTAACATAGAGTAATTCCTTTAATCTTTTATATATTGAATTTATTTATTTTATCTTTTTATTTTTTGTTTTATTTATTTATATTTTTTGCAACGAAAAACAAAACAGTATTTATAGTAACTTATTTCTTTTCAATAATCATGTGTACAATATTTCGAGCACATATACATGAAGTTATATTTTAATGTTTAAAAGATTTCGTCGGATTTCAACTTGTTAATAAGCACATATAACTTACTGTTTTGATTGCTGTCCAATTAGTGACGTCATTCATTTCATTAATATAGCGTGCACTAATTACGAACACTGATGACAGCTTGGTGTTAACTGGATAAGAATTAATCCTCAGGTATACCGTGGCTATAAGATCTGGACACTTATTTTCACCATATGGTACATTTTTACACAATATCTCGGGTGCTTTTAGTATTGTCGAGTGATTAACTTGTGTCGCATCTAAAAGAAAAACAAAATGAATGCACGTTTATCTGTTTTTATAAAAATTTGGTAACTGATTGAACTGGCAGTAACTCATCACGTTAGATATAGCGTATATACATTCTTAATAATAGAAATAGCATCGAGACATTGGACTTTCTGTTTTTCCAGAGGCGCCGAAGGCAAATTTAAAGTAAAAACACATAACCTTTCGTCACAATATGAAACCCCAGAAAAAATCAATAAACAAGAATCTGAATACGGCCTTTCTATCATTATCCATTTATTTAGATTCCCTGTCATCACCATAAGTAAATTCAAGACAAAATGTAGCCAATCAACAATCAATTTTTTTCTTTGACGGACAGTGCGGTAAGTGGTGTACGGGCAACTAATGCCTGCACTCGAGTTAACGCACTGTGCAATAATGGGTATACGATTGAACTCGATTGACATTTTTTTAAATTATGATACAAATCAAAACTATTGCATTGGTACCATGCGAGGGTGAAACGTGTTTGTATGGGCTAGACATTTTGTTATGTTTCACCATTGAAATGTTCAATGCGTTTTGCAATGAATCTTTGAAATGACAAAAATCTGGAAACAAAGTGATCCCTCGGAAGCATTAATCACAACAAAATTACATAAGAATTGCAGACTCGGTTTGATTGAGTTTGTACATGAGGGATACTGAATAAGTGCAACTTCCCTCACGCCCCATAGCACCGGCTTGAGCGGTACTCAATTCTCAACACTTCATAGTGCTGGCATCAATTATCCCGAAGGACCAGAAAAATATAACAATTCTGAAGTGAAGTACGGGGCAACTTTTTACAGCTGCGTACATGAGAGTCAACGCTTCAAATGAACAACAAAAATTGTAAAACCGTTTTTGCCTTTGTCACGCGCTTTGCATTATTAATAATGAAACAATTTCTGTAGATATTACTCACAACTACTCCGCTTTTTTGTACAAATAAGGAACATATCTGTACAGCGAGTTTTTTCATTGGTGTTTTTAGTTTTCTGATGGCAAACATTCGTCTTATGACTCACAATATGTATTTTAAAAAGACTAAATGGTTATAAATATTTATGTCCTTGAGACATTTCAGTTGATATCTTGTCACATAAAAACATAAAGGAGATATTAAGGAGAAAGATACAACCAAGTAGCCAATAATGGACAAATGTTAAATAAACAAACAAACAAACTTCAAAAAACCTAAAACAGAACAAAACAGAACGAATACTGATTTTACAGTTTCAATTTAACATATGAGTTCCTCGTCATTACACGTACAGAGTATATAAAATATAGCAAGAGTAAATACAAAAGGACCAAGTTATAATTGTTTTTGTAATTGATCTTACAGATACAGATTTCAAATCTAATAATAAGATAATGTCAACATTTTATATGCCTATCAACAAATAAACACATATATTTCATTACATACCATGTTTGGACAATGCCTCTGCGTGTAAATCTTTAAGAAATGAGCAGCTAGACAGACAGTATTGGTTACCCTGCAGTAGAAACAGATTAAAAAATGTTATACATTATAACATATTATTATACAATTTTGGTCTCAATTACACAATTGCCCCTTTCTTATGTAGTATGTTTAATCTTTTTTTTTTAAGACTCATCATTGTACAATTCATAACATCAGTACATATTTTTAACATAAGCATTGCACTTAGTCATTCTTAAATAGAATTGAGTGTAAGAGCTTATTAAGCATTATTTACGGACTTTAAAACATTTCTACACCAACTCTTTAACATGAAGGTTAAATATTCTTTTGTAAATCTCGTAACCACTTTATTACATTACCAAGTTGAAATTATATTAATTGTGCATTTAATATTACCCCTCATGGCGAACCTTTCTAGCCTCGTATCAGCAATATTCCTTTAATTCTTATCATAATTTAATAGTATATTTGCTTTGAAAAATAAACTATTTATAAATGTTACTTCAGTGACGAATTAATCAATATTCGAAAGGAAACGGAATAGGATAAAGTTTTGATTTGTTCTTAATATACAACACTAGGGAATTAATACCTTCAAACATAATTGAAAATGCTATTGAACGCTTATCAAAATCAAATGAAACTCACTTTAGAATAGAATTTTAAAGAAACAGCATTTATTAAGAAAAATAATTCGGGAAAAAAATCAAGGACAAATTCAAAGACTTAAACATACATTTTAAGATTGAGTAATATGACCGGCTTGTTTGACCCAGTACATCATTTACCACAGATAAAAAAGCTATGCTAAAATATTTTGCTCAGTAGAGTATATTCAAAGTTAATATTTCGAAACAGTCAAGCTGAATTTTCTTTTGGCAATGATAGCTATATAGAAGAGATTTATTCTGTACAAACTAATTTAGACTAGTTTGCTATTAGAGAGGCTTTCGTTTCCCTCGAGACGTTTCCCCGTTCTCACTGTAGTAGATGAAATAATGTGCAATGTTGAATCAAATATCGCCTTTTCTTCATAACAATTAGTAATCCTCAAACTGATAGAAACAAAAATGATAAGTGTTTGCAACAAGTATTGAACTAGGTCAATCTGCACATCTGTGCTGTCTGGCCAGCTCCAGCGTGTCTGTGCTTTAACGTTGAAATCCCTTTAAACTCTTAATTAAATGTTTAAAATACATAGCTTAGCAAATCCACTGTATATAATAAAAAACATAAAGAAACTTCTCATATCAAGAAATATATAATTATTATAGTATTTGCACTGATGTAATAATATAAAACTTAAGGTTTTTTTTTTGTCTTGAGTGCAATATCTATCTTCCCATTACAATTTCCATGTTTTTTTTAACAGTCATAATTTTTCAGATAAATTATCTGGAGCCATCCTATCCGATCCTTTGAAATAAGCGTGTTTAACAATTGAATTGTAATTTATATAACATTACAACATGATGTATTTGTTAAACCGAAATATTCCAGGTACAGGTTGGCTGCACCAGGAAAGTTCAATAATTAAATTATACCATATGATATAAGAATGAAAGCATGCCATGATGTAGACAGTGTATCAACATCTGTTCATGTAAATTAATAAGGTTACTGGGACAAGCATGCAAATATGTCAAATGAATATCAATGTTCATGCAATGAAATAAACTTTATGTTATGAAATATTGATTGGCAAAGTTTTCCCGTGTTTTGAATGTATATTTTTCTTATCACTTCGCAAAAGACAACTTTAACAGATTTGCTCAACACAATGAATGTTCAGTTTCAGTCTTAATACCTAATTTTGTTATGCTAAGAGCCTTCTATCCTGAGCATGAATTTACAATTTTCACATCAATTTCTTTGACGAGATAACATCATCTTAAGACTTTCTCTTCTTACAATGAAATACGAAATGAATGATGATAAGGAAAGAATCAATAACGTATACGTAAAATTAATTTTAGATAAATAAAATATCACATTATGATTTTAAATTGTAATTATTTACGTGTACTTGATTTAATTGACAATATAAGCAAAACCAGTAAGATCAATTAACTTCTATCTAACAATAAATTATTTCAAATAATTGTATTCAAAGATTGAAAAATATAATAAATTAAATCGAATAACATCAAGGCATTATTCACATAGTATTGGTTATAAAGCTGAGACAGTTTGTCAGATCGTCGGTCTTCATGGAATATTTATCTGCGTAATCTTTAAATTGCAGAATGCAAGCAACCCTGATAGTATCACTTTCAATGCTGTAACGAAATATATTCGTCTGTGGATGAAAAGTTCATCTAATACCAATTTAATACAAGTCAATTATCATTAATGATCGAGTATCGTGCAACTATAAAATTGATATGTTATCGTCAAACATCTTATTTTTTAAAGTGCGAAGTTTAACATCAACTTTTTGTAGATAATATCAATAAAGTGAAAGAATGTGTTGTAAAAGAATACATCATCTATTCATTTAATGTTGTTTTTTATTCACCTGTGACTACTCTGCATATATATACCGGAATAAAAGAAAAAAAAATAATATAAAAACATGTATATGCTCAGAAATAAATTGACACATTGAAATTTCAGGAATTAAAATGTTTTATTATGAATATTAAATATGTAAAATAGATGCATGCAAACATTTTCTTCTATTTCAGAAGTTTGCGTTATGTAAGTGCCTAACAGTACAGATATTTCACGGTCTGGTTTGTTCAGATGTATTGAAACCGAAAAATAAAATATTATAGTTCATGTCATCATATTGGTATAATGTTCTTAATATGCATATTGAATAAAGTAAATAATACTTTTTGTTGCCATTGCACGAATTAAGCGACAAATTGCCTATCTAGTTTCTCATCCGATATCAAATATTGCGTTTATATGTCTTTAATGTATTTTTTAACAGCAAATTAAGTGTTTTTAAACTGTCTGACATTCCGTACAAGTGTACATTCCAAAACGTATTATTGAATTTATTTCACTTATAGTTTTAATAGACGTAATATATAAAAGTGCGGCTTAAAACTCATATCCTTTCATTTCTATGGTTATTTTAACGTTTCAAAATAGATATTTGAAGTGGCATATAATAACTGAAACCTCTGTGAAGAGGAAACAGCTTTTAGATCACTCCAAACACCATCTCTGCAACATTTCATAACCAAGTGTTCATTCTGTTGATGTGAACATTTAAGATGAATCAAAAAATGTTTCAAAACAAGACGACATGACAGTAATGTGGTCGTTTTACAACGACATTGGTAAATACAATTTGAGGATCAGATGAACAATCATATTTATGGATTGGATTTATGGTTCAAAATGGTGTTACAACGCTAAACTAAATCTGAGAGGGTTGCGAAGATTCAAACCATCGATCACCCATCTCCCAACCACTTTCGACATTCACAGTGTTTACGATAATAGCTTAAAACTAATTTCCAATGTATAGCTTTTATTCACGGGCATGTAAACAAAACTAGAATCGCTTCTTGGATACCTTGAAGGTAATGTAACGACTTAACAAAAAAGAAATATCAGATTTAAAACTCTGTTTAGAAAAGAGTATTTGACAAGAGAATGGAAAGTGGTATTGCAAACTAGCAAAAAAATTAGCTTAACTAACACAACTACAACCGTTTCTTTAGATGAGAATATCAAATTTCAGATCGTCAAGTTAATAATTATCATGTTTTGCATCTCGCACTGTACGCCAGTGATCTAACAGGAAAAATATGTGTTAGGAACACGCCAGATTATCCTTTGTTATAAGGAAAAATAAAACTGTGGAGAGAAAACAAAAAATAATGTAAAAGATTCTTTAAATAACTTTACAGTTATTGGCAGGATAATACCCTGAAGAAGCGTAATTTTGGCAAGTTTAAGACTTCTGATAAAACGATATGATGTTTTAGTACCGTGTGCTAAAGCAAACAGGTTGGATATTTCATTTAAAATTTGATTATATAAAAGTTGTTTAAGTAATCTTAAACAATCCTTTACAGTTTTAAAATTAAGATGATGCCCCACGATATTCTCCCTTTAATTACATCATGACTTTATATAAATCTAATATCACATGTAGAGGTTAATCATTGCTTTGCATATTTACGGAATCTTGTTTCTTTCTGCAATCGACATCGAAATTGATTTAGAAGATACGCGGACATGTAGCTTTAAATTTTCTTGGTGTAATTTAACATGAAAAGCAATAATCGCTCCTACGTTGCTCCTTTTTCTTAGCATCTAAAATATTATAGACTGATGACGAAAACGCAGGAATAAACACGTAGCTACATTTATAAGATATTGGAGTTCTTTAACTACTTTGCTCTTTTCAAAAGTATACTATCATAAAAGAACAACCGTTTATCTCTTTCAACGAATACTCTGCTTCGTTTCAATTGTGGAATATCTAAAATAATTATGAAAAGCTTTAATCGGTTCGAACAAAGGCCTTCATATAAAATCTAATAATAGAACACACATCTATTATAAAAGCTGATTTTCAAGATCATGTTTATCCCTGCGTGATCGTAAGAGGCGACTAAATGGATTTGAAATACTTGAATTTATGTATCTCTTATTTCCAGCAGGTACCTAATTTTGATAAAAGGGAACGCATTGGAGTACAAAATGTACTAATTTATATAAAATGACTATAAGGAATAAAGATGTTGCAGAAACACGAGACAGCATCAGTACATATCAAACCATACCCGTTGGCATTGAATTAAGTCAGTGATCATTTGTTTGATATTTCTCACAAAAGAATTACGATAGGAGCAAAATCTATCAAATTGAATAAAAGTATGGCATCTTACAAAATACACTTGCGATACAATTATAATTAAGTTTTATAAACAACTTTATACCTATAAATAAAAGGTGATAAATTTGAAAATAACACAGAAATTATGCAATAATAACGCCGAATCCGTGCAATATATGGCCGTAAAGGACACTCTGTTAAAGACGTGCCGTTAATCAAATTGAAATATAATTATGAATTAGCGC